ATGAACTAATGACGGGGCCCTGGGACACACAAATAAAAACACACAAATAACAGGATTTCCCATATTTTCCAATATTTTTGGATTTTCGTCTTCCCCCCCACTTCCCATATGTTCCCCTATTTTCTGAGGGATCAACGATTTGTCTGTGTGTTGTTTCCCTCATGATGAGCTCATGGAGGGCTCCAAGCTAGCCCACAGAGGGGCTCCGAAGGGCAGCAAGATAAACTAAAACAAACAAAAGCAACCCAGCAGTCCCAGCATTGCCACGAGAGGTAAGATGTCTGTCTTCCCAGGGTTGTGGATGCCATGACAATGGACGCTCAAAACAATCCGATCATTGAACTGAAGATGTGTTTATGTGTAAAGTATGTTCTAGACATGCTTCAAACATGCTTCTACATGCTTAAAACGTACTTGAAACATCTTCTAGACATCTGGACATTATTTGGCAGCATGCTTCCTCTGAATTGATCGTCCTCCACGATCCTAGGAAGGGAGGAATTGAGGCATCCAGCATGGCCCCCAAAGAGTTCCCCACGAGAGGCCGAAGAGAGCGCCAAAGCATCGAGAAGGCCCCCAAGAGACACCGAGTATGACCCCATGATGGCTGCAACAAGCCCCGAAGAGCCAACCTGGCAATTCGTGGAAGCTGCTTGGATTGATCCCTCCTGTGATTTGAATGAGGCTTGTCCGTCCTTGTTTGATCATCGCTCCCGTTCCAAATGATCTCTATAAACCCGCAACCCACCTTATCATTATCTACATGTAAGCAGTTCTGGGCACGCTGATGGGCATACGCGACGCGTCAAGAAGTGATACACACTTTGTAAGCAAGCGGCTCAGAGGGTCCTCAAACGAGAACAGCAGATGGAAAGGCGAATGGCGACCGAGCGTTGTCGATAGCGCAGCGTACAAACGTCGTGCACTGCACATGCAAGCGGTGGGTGTGTGAGAGGAACTGCAAGGAATCGGCGGCTAGGCAGAGGGACTGCTCTGGCGGTGCAGCATTCGTGGGACACACAAAACGCGAATAGGAAGGCACCAACTATACACCAACACCGATCCTGGCCAGGATCGCCCTGGGCCCAGGATCGGTGTATACGCCCTCCTGCCTTGGGCAAGAAGGCATATACACCGATCCTGGGCCCAGGGTGATCCTGGGCCAGGATCGGTGTTGGTGTATAGTTGGTGCCCTCCGAGCGAAGCACACACACACACACACACGACACCCAGAACAGGCCAGCTCTCCCGCGTCATCGGAGCCTCAACGACCGCTGCCTCGCCGCTGGCTGCACCGTCATGGGGCACGAGGCCCTGCCGCCCGGCACCGCACGGCGGGTTCGTGCCGTGACGGCCCCTGCCACTGGCTTCTGACACTGCCTGGATCGTTCAACCTTCTCCTCCTCCTCCTCCTCCTCCTCCTCCTCCTCCTCCTCAACCTTCCACACCATCGGTGGCTCTCCAATCTCGGGCCGGGCGAAAGGGGCGGATCGCAAAGGCGGGGTTTGAGACTCCGCCCACGCAGCTGATGCTCCCAGCGCCTCCCGGCGCCGGGAGGCGGCCATGCATCGAGGTACGGGCCCGGCGGCGGGGCCGAAACCAGCTGCAGGCAGCAGAGTTCGGAACCCCCCCCCCTTTCCCTATCCCCCCAAGTCGTCCGGCGCGAGAGTCGGCCAGCTCGTTCCGTATCGGCCCGTTCTGGGCCACCCGTGGCGCTCAACCTGAAGTCGGGCCTGTCCCCCTACAGGGGGATTTTCGACGAACAATAATAATAATAATCATAAAATCCAGAAATGATAAAAAAATAGTCCGGGGACTATTTTTCTATTATTGTTTGACCTTTTGGGGGGCATGTTTGGGGTATCTTTTACTTCTCGTCGAAACGCCTCCTGTAGGGGGACACGCCCGATTTAAGCTCAACCCTGAACACCCGCGGCGGGGTCGCCGCCATGGCGACAGGGCACGAGAGTGCAGAGAGCGCCCTCGGAGAACCAGCGAGCGCCGCCTCGCCGTCGGCTGCACAAGTCATGCGGAGCACGAGGCCCGGCCGCTCGTCGGCGCAGGGAGATCTAGAGAAACAAAAAGTGACATAAACATAAGAACTCGGAGGTCCGCGCTGATTTCTCGGAACGGCGCTGGACCCCCCTCCCTGGCGCTCGGAGCGCGCCAGGGGCGGCGCCAGAGGCGCCGCCGGGGGGCCCCAGCGCCGATCCGAGGAATCCGCGCGGACCTCCGAGTTGTTATGTTTATGTCACTTTGCGTTTCCCCAAGATCCCTGGGGAATCATCCCGCCGGAATGTTCCACTCCGCTGCGGGGGGTCCATTCCTGGCCATCGCTCGGACGGCCATTCCCTGTGCTCTTGTTCGGTTTTGTGCGCGGCTTCTTCGCCAAACGATCAAGGATGCTCCTCAATGGTCCTCGCCGAAGGAAACGTGCACACGTCCGAGCGATGCCAAGATTCCGCTGCCGCCGCGATCAAATGGGGTCGTGCAAGC